ATAATGATCTGTAACATAAAACCTACAAGGGTGCAGCGCCGAACAGTTGTAATCTTAAGTACAGGCCACTTGAGCCTGACAATAAATATAGTTCTCACGCTGTCGGGTCGCCTTGCGGGGGATTATGATTATGTTTTTAAAAAAAAAAAAAAAACAGCTAAAAGTCGCTAACCATTGAGCGTTTCCAAAGCCATAACATCGGAAAAATAAAACACAAAAAGTGTGTGTTTTTAAACCAAAAATAAAAAATAAATTTTTATAATAATATATAATTTTTATTTGGTGTGTCGCGGAACGGATTAGGCTATCGATAGTCAGGATTTTTATGAAGTCAGTATTTTTATGAAGTCTAGTATTTAGTTTAGGTTATTTGGTTGCACTAAAATCTGGTAAAAAGGAATACAATATTTGGCGGGTAAAACACATCGATTTGCGCCATCACAGAAAGGGGAAGAGAAACTGCGGTATGTAGGATAAGTAATTATGTATCAGGTTAAGAACAAATGTCTTTTGGAATAAAGCGCTCGTTACACATCACTTCAACAATTGTCCTATTTGCGAGTGTTATAAGGCATTCCCGTGATCGGCCAAGCGGTGACAAATTCTTTTATTCGCACTCTGCACGATGATGCCCACGAAGCACTCACCCAGGCGGAGCCCCAGGCTGGAAGCCTCGGGCGTTCCCGCAACTGCGACCACCACGGCCACAGCAACTGGCACCGCGACCAGCTCTGCGAGTGTGGCTGGTGATCGGCAGAGGCCACAGACTCCGAAGGAAAGTGGAACAGCCGCCAGGAAAGCGGCAAGTAACCTGCAGCCCGAAGCGACGGGGCAGACTACGGATTCCACAACTGTAGTGGCGGCCTTAATGGAAAGGATCGCACGTCTGGAGTCGGAGCTGGCGAAGGCAAGAGCAAGTGGAGGACAAGCAGAGGCCGCCAGAGATCCCGTTGGAATCGGGGCACGCGGCGTTGGAGTGAGCGGTGCAGCGAATACACCGCCATGTTTGCCGGCACAAGTAAGTGCAAATTTGCCGCCACAATGGAGTGCGAATTTGGCGCCGACGCTTGGCGGCCATTGGGCAAACGGGCAACCTGTGTCGACAACAACAATACTGCGCTATTCTCCGCCATCTTGTGTGACCGCCGCAGCACAGCCAGTGCTAGGTTATGTTCACCCAGAGGTACCTGCGCCATCGCCCATATCATATGGAGCGCCGACGACAAGCATACAAGGATGGACGCCACGCAGACTACCTGACCTTCCCGATTTCGAGGGTCAGCCAGAGGAATGGCCAATATTCCTGTGTGCGTTCACGGAGACAACTGCAGCCTACCAGTGCACCGAGTTGGAAAACAACCAGAGGCTAGTGAAAGCCCTGAAGGGAGAGGCTCGCGAAACAGTGAAGTCGTTGCTCATCCATCCCAGCAACGTACAAGTTGTTATGGAGCAGCTACGATTCCGGTATGGACGCCCGGAGCAACTGATCCGCAGCCAATTGGAGAGCGTGCGCGAAGTGCAGCCGATTCAGGAGGCCAACATCGCGAGGATCGTGCCGTTCGCGACGAAGGTTAGCAACCTGTCAGCGTTCCTGCAGTCAACCGCGACCGGCAGCCAGCACCTAGCCAACCCAACCCTAATAATGGCTCCATGAATTCGCCAAACTGGTGTGCACTGTCACGGACGCCGGAGCCAGGGAACAACCGAAGCGAAGGATTCTGCACGCGAATAGTGTTCGCGAGGAGGAGCAATATGTCGACCGCCCCAGATGCTGCCCTATATGCGAGGGACAGCACCAGGTCAGGGACTGCAATGACTTCATCAGCGCCTCTACAACGACACGGATCGAGTCCGCGAGGAAGCGACGACTGTGCTTCTCGTGCCTGGAGCCCGGACACATGTCCCGGTTCTGCAGGAAGAGCCGCGGATGCAACGTCCTCGGATGCCAGATGAGGCATCACCACCTGCTCCACGAAGTACCTGAACGATCCAAACGGCCGCCAGTCGCAGATGGGGGCCACAGGAGGGATCAGGACCGACAGCCGTACAGAGACGGCAACAATCGGAGGGGAGTGCCACGGTCAGTGGATTCCAGCGAATGGAACCATCCTACGTCGGCCGCAGTTGTAGACGCGCGACGTGAGCGGGATGAAGGGCGATCGGCGTACGATCGCCAGGAGTTGCCGCACCGAAACCTCAACATCGACTCAATTGGATGCCACCTGCTGTTCAGGATTCTACCCGTGACGCTGTACGGCGAGAATACGAAGGTCGACACGTACGCACTGCTGGACGAAGGATCGTCTGTCACACTCATCGACGACGAGCTCATCCGCAGCCTGAACCTGAAAGGCGAGAGTCGCCAGCTGAATGTGCAATGGTTTGGTGGAAATTCCGCCAAAGAGCACACGAAGGTGGTCAGCCTGCAGATCAGCGCAGCGGGCAAACCAAAGCGCCATTGGCTGAAAAATGTGTACGGAGTGGCCAATCTGAACCTTCCGATGCAGAGCCTGCGTCAGGAGGATGTACAGGCAGTGAAGGCGAACACGCGTCTGCCGGTGATGCCGTACAACAATGCGACGCCGAGGATCCTATTTGGACTGGATCATGCGCATTTAGGAGTACCCTTCAGAACCAAAAGTTATGGATCTGGAGGGCCGTTTGCAGCAGAAACCGCACTTGGATGGGTGGTATATGGACCGGTGAACGGAAAGCCGAGCTCGCCGCTTCTGAGTTCGTGCCTCCTAGCCGTGCCCCAGGATGATCTTCTGGAGAAGATGGTCAGCGACTACTTCGAGACCGAGAATTTCGGAGCGAAGCCGGTGCAGCCAGTCGCAGCTGGCAGAGTGGACCTGGAGCCGTCAGTCGGAGATAGCGGCGACGCACGGGCCCTGAGCACCCTGGAGAAGACGACCAAACGCGTAGGCCAGAGATACGAGACCGGGCTGCTATGGAAGGACGACGAAGTGAGATTGCCGGAGAGCTAGAGCATGGCCCTCAAGAGGCTCGTCAACATAGAGCGTAAAATGAAGCGCGATGTGGACTTCGCGTCAGCTTACATCCGGATAATGGACGATTATGTCAAGAAGGGATACGCACGACGACTGGAGGCCCAGGAAGTCCAGAGGTTTCAGGAGGGCAAAGTGTGGTACCTGCCGCACTTCGGAGTGGAAAACCCGAACAAGCCTGGGAAAATCGGGCTGGTTTTCGATGCGGCTGCCAAGGTGGACGGTGTGTCCTTGAATTCAGCGCTACTGAAAGGCCCACAGCGCTACAAGCCCCTCCCAGCAGTGCTCTTCCATTTTCGGGAAGGAGCGGTTGGAGTTTGTGCAGACATCAAGAAGATGTTTCATCAGGTACTGATGCAGCCGAAGGACAGTTGCGCCCAGAGGTTTCTGTGGAGAGACGGAGACGACCAGCGAGAGCCGGACGAATACGAGATGGCAGTAATGACGTTCGGAGCGGCCTGCTCACCATGTTCGGCGGACTACGTGAAGACCGTGAATGCCTTGCGGTATAGCAGCACGGACCCGCGAGCAGCCCTGGCCATCAACGAATACCACTACGTGGATGACTACGTCGACAGTTTCGCCAGCGAGGACGAAGCTATCGCCATCTCGACACGGGTGAGAGAAATTCACGCTGAAGCAGGTTTTGATTTGTGCCGATTTACCTCCAGTTCGGCAAGTGTGGTCAGAGCGCTGAACCCACTTGAGTCCATAGCCAGCATCGGATGGACCGAAGCTGAGGAGAAGGTTCTTGGGATGTACTGGCAGCCGGCTACCGATGAGTTCAAGTTCGGCGTCAAGTACCATCGAGTCCCGAGGAACGTGATGACGGGGGAACGAGTCCCTACCAAGAGGGAGTTCCTAAGCCTGGTGATGTCTACGTTTGACCCGATTGGGTTCCTGAGCTGCTACATGGTGACTGCCAAACTGCTGCTGAGGGAGATTTGGCGGAGAGGAGTCAACTGGGACGAGCCGCTACCGGATGAATTGGCCGCAGCCTTCGAGGATTGGCGGCAAGGGATGAGTCGGATCCAGGAGTTCCGATGCCCGCGCCACTACTTTGGCGGCGGACGAGTGCGGACGCTACAGCTGCACATCTTCGTGGACTCCAGCCAATCGGCGTTCGCAGCAGCGGCCTACTGGCGGGCCACGTACGAGAACGGAGACGTGCAGGCGCACTTCATAAGCTCCAAAACGAAATGCGCCCCGATGAGGACCATGTCGATCCCACGACTGGAACTCCAAGCAGCGGTATTGGGCACGAGATTGATGGACACCGTCAAGCAGGCGCACGGTGTGGCGATCAGCAGCTGTGCGCTATGGACGGACTCCAAGACTGTGTTGCACTGGATAAGCAACACCCACCGGAGATACAAACAGTTCGTCGGAAACCGGGTGGCGGAGATTTTGGAATCGACAGAGGCGTCCCAGTGGAGATGGATCCCGTCCGCCGAAAACGTGGCGGATGACGCGACAAGGCCACGCTAGGCCGTGGACCTGAGCATCGGTTCGCGATGGCTAAGCGGACCGCCGTTTCTACGAGGACCAGAGGAGAGCTGGCCGAGATCGAGTGAGGACTGGATTCCTCCGACGACCGACGACGAGGAAATGAAATCTGATTTTGCCTTGGTCACGGTAAACTTTATATCCCTGCAGAGGTTCTCCAGCTATAATCGACTGGTGAGGACGACTGCGTGGGCGCTCAGATTTGTTCGACGATGCCGTGGAATACGTCCCGATGAAGAGGTCTACGGATTGACCGCGATGGAGTGCGCTGAAGCAGAGCGCGCATTGATACGGCAGTCGCAGCGAGAAGCGTTTGCTGAGGACAGCCAAGGAAACGTCGCCAAGGACAGCTGACTGCACGGACTCTCCCCATACCTTGACGAGGACGGAGTATTGAGAGCCAGTGGAAGGATCGACGACGCGACGTGTGTGCCATACAACGCACGTCGGCCGATCATTCTGTCTCACGAGGAGGCGCTGGCAGAGATGATCGTGCAGCAACACCACGAAAAGATGTGCCACCAAAACGCGGAGGCGACGATCGGATCGATTCGGAGCAAGTTCTGGATAACGAACTTGCGGAGACTGCTACGGAGGGTGGTGAGCAAATGCAACGTTTGCAAGCTGCGGAAGGCACGACCCACACAGCCTGAGATGGGCCCCCTGCCTGCGGATCGGCTAGAGGCCAACGGATGGCCATTTAAGTTTACTGGCCTGGACAACTTTGGGCCGCTCTTTGTGAGTATTGGACGTCGCACAGAGAAGAGGTGGGTGGCACTGTTTACGTGCCTGACCACGAGGGCTATCCACTTGGAGATGGCTCACGATTTGTCCACCGACTCCTGCATAATCGCCATGAGGAACTTCATGAGCCGCCGTGGACCAGTGGTCAGGATAAGGAGCGACAATGGGAAGAACTTCGTTGGAGCCGACCGCGAGGCCAAGAGGTTCAGCGAAGTGGTCGAGCCTGCACAGATCCAGGGCGAGCTGTCGTCTAAGGGAGTCGAATGGATCTTCAACTGCCCGGCGAACCCAGCTGAAGGCGGTGCCTGGGAGAGGATGGTGCAGTGCGTGAAGAAGGTGCTGGCGCACACAATGAAGGAGCTCGCGCCCAAGGAGCATGTAATGGAGAACCTGCTGATTGAGGCGGAGAGCATCGTGAACACTCGTCCGCTCACTCATCTACCGGTGACGGTGGACCAGGAGGCTCCACTGACGCCTAACGATTTGCTGAAAGGAGCATCGGGTATACCAGATCTCCCCAAGGATGATGGACAGGAGCCCGTGAGATCCGCTACTAGGAAGCAGTGGCGCATAGCAAGGATGATGCGCGATCGCTTCTGGAAGCGTTGGGTGCATGAGTACCTGCCAACTCTTGTGCGCAGGGAGAAATGGTGCAAGCGCGTCGAGCCCATCCGTCGAGCCCATCCGTCGAGGAGACGTGGTATTCATCTGCGATCCAGCCATACCACGAAGGGAATGGAAACGAGGCGTCGTGGAAGAGGTGTTCACCGGGAAGGATGGAGTACCTCGTCGAGCAGCGGTGCGGACTACCGACCGAGCCAAGACGACTATGCGTCCCGCTTCGAAGCTAGCTGTTCTGGACGTGGTGAATGCGGCTGCTTCACGGGGGTGGGGATGTCGCGGAACGGATTAGGCTATCGATAGTCAGGATTTTTATAAAGTCAGTATTTTTATGAAGTCTAGTATTTAGTTTAGGTTATTTGGTCGCACTAAAATCTGGTAAAAAGGAATACAATATTTGGCGGGTAAAACACATCGATTTGCGCCATCACAGAAAGGGGAAGAGAAACTGCGGTATGTAGGATAAGTAATTATGTATCAGGTTAAGAACAAATGTCTTTTAGAATAAAGCGCACGTTACACATCACTTCAACAATTGTCCTATTTGCGAGTGTTATAAGGCATTCCCGTGATCGGCCAAGCGGTGACATGGTGGTAAGGCGTGTTTGAGGCCAACATCAGACAAAATAATAATAAAAAAAATAATAATAATTTGTGAAAAATGCATAGCGAAATAACACTTGTGAAAATTAAAATAGACAAGTGAACCCATAAAATTCTAAAAAATCCAAAAAGTTGGATTCAAATAGAAAAAGTGCCTACAAATGCTAAAAGCCAAAGAGCTAAGCAAAATAAAGTGCCTACAATGCTAAAAAAGCATGAAAAAGTTAAAAATCCAAAGCCAACAAAAACAAAAATTACAACTCAAAAACAAAATTGAAAAATTACAACACAAAAACAAACTATAAAAAAAAATAAATAAAAACAACAACGAAATCAACTCTAAAAAAAAAAGAAGAAAAGAAGACCCAGAAGGACGACTTCAGCAGCAAACACAGCAAGACTTCAACAACAAGCAGCCAACATCTTCAACATCAAGCATCGCTCCTACCATCGACGTCTACAGCGGCATAACAGGAAAAATTCAGATAAGAAATACAAATTTATTCCTAAATTTAAATAACTTAATTAAAAAAAAAAAAATTATAAATAAATTAAGAAAATGTCGTCCGAAAAGGCCATTGAGCTCTTAAAGAAGCAGTCCGAGCTAACACAGCAAATAAGAATTTTAGAGGCAAAAGTGCACTTAACACTTCCGGAATTTCAAAAAACTTTGGACATACAAAAGGTGTTTGTTTACAATCATAGTGCTTTACTAAAAGTAGGACCAGTTGAGCACGAGTATTTTACATTAAAACATTATGATGCGATGATGATGGTACTTGAAAAACTCAAGATTCAGTTTGAGAAAGACTCGGGAAAGGCAGCAGGAAGCGGTGATCAAAAAGTTGCAGAAATATGCGAAATTAGGCACGCATCGAGAGCTGATATGTTGAAGGAAGAATTTGACATAAATTCTGGGTGTTTAAGGAATTATTTAAATGAATCCGTTAATAATCTAACGTCCGATCTCTTTTCCCTGGGGGTGAGAAAAAATAAAATTCAATTTTGGAAAGCTAAGACTTTTCGTTTAATTGAGGAAGTAAGAAGTTGTTTTAAAAGCAAGGAATTTGAAATGATAGTTAGCGAATTAGAATTCGATGTCGGAAACATTATAGACGCTATAGATAAAAGACTTAGCAAGGAACAAGATATTGTTAAGGAATCTATAACTGTAAAGGCAGAGGAATTACCTAAGCTACCAAAAATACAGATACCCACTTTCTTCGGTGATACCAAAGAATGGGATCTATTTAATGAGCTGTTTTTGGAACTCATTCATACAAGAGAGGACCTTAAAACTGCCGTTAAATTTAGTTATCTCAAATCAGCGTTAAAAGGAGAAGCCAAAAACGTGGTTTCCCATTTACTGCTAGGCACTGGGGATAACTATGAAGCCGCTTGGGAGTTGCTAACCAAGCGGTATGAGAACAGAAGAAAAATTTTCTTTGATCATATGAATAGGCTTATGAATTTACCCAAGTTAAATTTGGAATCCAATAAGCAAATTAAGACATTTATTGACACAATTAATGAGTCAATATATATTATAAAATCAAAGGCACAATTATCCGAAGATGTGGATGCAGTATTTGCCCACATAATACTTCAAAAATTTAACAAGGATTCTCTAAATTTATATGATAGCCATGTAAAAAAGACAAAAGAAATTCAGGCACTTTCTGATGTCATGGAGTTCTTAGAGCAAAGACTCAGCTCCATTTCCTCTTTTCCACAGGAGAATAAACCTTTTAGAAAAGAGTTTCAAAACAAAAGCAGCAAAGAAAACTGCGCTTGTTGTAATTTACCAAACCATAATATAACACAATGTTATAAATTTAAAGGTATGGAACCAGCAGAAAGAAATGACTGGGTTAGAAAAAGGCACATTTGTTTTAAGTGTCTGAAGCATTCACGCAATAAAAAGTGCACGAATGAAATTTTTTGCTTGAATTGCAAGAAACCGCACCACACGCGGTCGTGCGTCGTGTAGGACGACGGAACAAGCCCTATTGGCCACAGCATTGATTCATGTGAAATCAGCTAGTGGAGGCTTTGAAAAACTCAGAGCGCTGATTGACAGTGGACCACAGAGTACGATAATATCAGAGGAAGCTTCACAAATACTTAAGTTACCAAAAATAAGAAATTATACTGAGATTAGTGGAGTTTCCTCGATAAAAAAAATGCATATCAAAGCATAAAATAAAACTAAACATTAAACCTTTAAAAGAAAGGAAAAATTAATTAGTAGTGGAGGCAATTGTCCTTCCAAAATTAATGAAATCGTTGCCAATGCGCTCATTAAATATTGATAAAACGAGGTGACAAAACTACCCGTTAGCCGATCACAAATTTAACAAGCCAGGTCGAGTGGACTTAATTATAGAAGCCGATTTATATGCTAAAATTCTTCAAGAAGGAGTAATAAAGATAAACGGTCTTCTTGGTCAAAACACAGACTTTGGTTGGATAGTTTCTGGTTGCACCAAATCAAAAGGAAGTAACACGGTAGTTGCGACCACGATAGAGTGCAAGGATTTAGAAAGATTTTGGGAATTGGAGGAAGAAAGTAAAGAGGATTTAGAATCCGAATTATGTGAAGAAAATTTCACGAAAACAACACACATAGACTCTTCAGGACGATATGTTGTGAAGATGCCCTTTAAGGAAGAACAAACCTTAGGGGAATCTAAAGGCCAAGCCATGGCAAGATTTTTAAATTTAGAGAAAAAATTAATTAAAAATCAAAACCTAAAAGAACATTACTGTAAGTTTATCACAGAATACATGTCTTTAGGGCATATGGTTGAGGCAAACTCAGAAGGTAAATATTTAACAAACAATATTTAACAACAAAATTAAGGGTTGTTTTTGATGCGTCGGCAAAAACAACTAATAGTAAGTGTCTAAATGATATTATGTATATTGGACCTAGAGTTCAAAAAGATATTTTCGACATCATTTTAAAGTGGCGCAGATGGCAGTATGTAGTTTCAGCGGACATTGAAAAAATGTACCGTCAAATAAATATAGCAGAGTGCGATCAAGAATTTTTGCATGTCTTGTGGAGGGATTCTCCAAAAAATAAAATTAAAGACTATGAATTAACATCAGTTACCTATGGTACTGCTGCGGCTCCGTATTTAGCTAAAAGAGTGCTAGCGGATATAGGAGATAAATGTAAAGATCCGCTAATAAGTGGAATTATAAAAAATGATTTCTATATGGATGATTTGATGACAGGATCAGACAGCATTAAAGAATCCAAAGAAATTGTTAAACAGGTCTCATTGGAGCTAGAAAAAGTAGGGATGAATTTGAGGAAATGGATTTCGAATCACCAAGAAATCATTGAAAATGTAGAGAATGCTGGAGAAAACAAAACATTAAGCATTGAAGAGAATGAGTCCGTGAAGGCTTTAGGGCTTCAGTGGGAACCTTTTAATGATGAATTTAAGTTTTGCGTTAAATTTACTATCAGCAAAAAATCAATAAAAGGATAGTATTGTCGAACCTAGCAAAAATATACGATCCATTAGGATGGCTATCACCAGTTACTATTGTTGGGAAACTATTTATGCAAAGACTATGGTTACAGCAAATAAATTGGGATCAAGAACTAGATGTGAATGATTTAAACGAGTGGAAGTTGTACGAAGAAAATTTAAAATTTTTGGAAGACATTAGGATCCCGAGATAGATAAAGACACATATAAATTTTCCGCTTCAGCTTCACGGTTTTGCAGATGCTTCTGAAAAAGCGTACGCGGCAGTTGGATATGCAAAGGTAGAAGATTCGGTCACGTTAATAGCTAGTAAAAGTAAAGTAAATCCTAAGAAAAACATAAAGACTATTCCTAAGTTAGAGCTTTGCGCAGCCCATCTTTTAAGTAAGTTAATGCAGAGAACAAAGGAATCAATTTCTAACATAGCAGAAAGTTTTGCATGGAGTGATTCCACCATTACATTAGCTTGGATACGTAATGGGAACTGCAAAGATAAATTTATTAGACATAGAACTGATGATATAAAAAAACTAATGGATACAGAATGGAGTCATGTGAAGTCGGAAGATAACCCTGCTGACATTGCCTCCAGAGGTTTTTGCGCCACCAAATTAAAAGAGGGCTCAATCTGATTGTTAAAAAACAACAGGAGCTTCATTTTATGTCTGAAATGATTTGCTTGAGAGACGGTAAAGAAATCGAATCGAAAAGTAAAATATTAGGGTTGCACCCATTCTTAGACACAGATGGAGTTCTTAGAGTGGGTGGAAGGCTGCAAAATAGCAATATGCGATTTAATGTCAAGCACCCAGTAATATTAGATAAATGCCACCTATCTGATTTGATAATTAAAAAGGCTCATGCTGAGACCTTACATGGCGGAACTAACCTAATGAGAAATCAAATACAAAGGGTATATTGGATATTTAGGTTAAGAGACTCCCTCAAGAAAATTTTACGAGAATGTGTTACTTGTGCGAGATATCGACAATGTATAGGTAAACAATTTATGGGTAATTTACCAAATTACAGGGTAAATGCTTCATATCCCTTCCTTAATACAGGAATAGAATATGCGGGACCATATCACCTAAAATGCTCCAAAAATCGCGGGCAAAAGACATTTAAAGGTTATATTTCAGTTTTTGTGTGTATGGCTACTAAAGCCATTCACTTAGAAGCTGTTAGTGACTT